AGACTCATTCTCCATTTTCTTTCTGAGCCTCCTAGATGGCTTTGTCTGTATCTGTGTGTGATTTACATCTTGTGCAAAGCCAAGGGCCCTCTTGGCTGGTCCTGTGGGATTACCTCCGGGCCCTCAGACTTGACCTGCCTGATTCACTTGTCCTCAATGCTGGGGCACTACATAACACTTGCCATAGAACCAAATTCTAAGTCACTGTCATCAGCTCCTCTGACCTCTCAGTACATCATAAGAAATTGCCTGGAACCTTGGCAGCAAAATTTTTTTAGACCTTTAATTTTTACATTATTCCAAACTTCCAAAAACTCTAAGAATGACAGAACTACCACATACATTTTACCCAGATCCATAACTGCTAACATTTTCTTAGTATGGAAAATCCGACACATTTTTTTTTCCATTCCTGACCTATGTGTGTGTGTGTGTATGTGTGTGTTTTTGTGTTTTTTTTTTTTTTCTGGAAATGACCTTACATTCTACTAAGTCCTGTTAACTTCTCTTATTTTAACAGTACTGAATCAATTCAATAACCACATGGGATTTGATGGTTTCCTAAATATACGTACTGAGCAAGAATTTACTAAGCAAGGTTACTATCAGTTTTCCTCAAATATCCTGGGAAGAACTCCCAAATTACTAAATTCAGATAGGGAACAGAGAAAAATTATAGATTAATCAGAGCAAATTTTAGCAACTACTAGACCAATTTACCCCCATGTCTTGAGTTATTCTGTGTAAGTTATTTATTAGTGATCATTACTGCATATCTGACTCACTAATATACCTTTCTCTTGCTTAAAACAAAATTCCAAATACCATACAGTTTATTTAACTGCACTGAAATACATCTTTAAGAACTTCAGGGGTAGGATTTCAAAATGTCCCTAAATTGCTAGATATCCTCTACGGTGTCTGAAGAACAGGGCTGGAATACATTTTCTTACCATTTAGTCTGATGAAAAATATAAGAAAGTACATAACACAAGAAATGAGCCTACTCTAGCGTAGTGTGCCACGGTACTCACTCACCGTCCCAGTTCTCACTGTTAAAAGACTTAAAACCTCCCTCTCAGTAACTGCTAGCTGTCCTTCCTGCTTATTGTTCCCACAGAACAGACTGTCACCCCCGCGCCCACATTAATGCCCAGCTTCATGCCTCCTACTGATCCTCTGTCAGACAGTCTGCCTTACCCTTCCAAGGAGGAGTCTGCATCTAGTTTGCCCCAACCCAAGTCTCCATCCTGTTGGGCTTGGTGAATAAATAATAACATCCTGCCCATGGTTAGGCCTAGCCCAATTAGTCCCTTCAGAGAAGATTCTTTTTTTCCATCCATTCGAAACTCTCTTGCTTACCCAGGAACCTACCTCATTCTACATCCTCTGCACAACAGTAAAATTTGTTTTTCTTTTCAATCTCTAATGAGAATTCCAGAGACAGCCCATTAAGCCCCAATTTCTTGTCAAAGGAACAATTCTAGTTCTCTGATAATCTGCAGAATACAAATTACTAACCCAGGCTGATGACAGGAAATGTTATTTTTCAGCTCTAACACTGAATTCCTCCCAATTAGATATTTTTGTTGGGCTCTCCTGCTAGCAGGACAATCGTTTCAGGGAACACTTAATGCTGCAGTTTATAAACAGCAGCAAAAACACAAAAATAAGAGGACTGAGATAGTGTAATACGTTCATTAAAAAATTCACCTGGGAGGCCACGTTAAGGAGAATAGTATCCTACACTGGGAGACAGAAAGTGGGGACTGACTGGAATGGAAGTCAGTGCCCAAAAAGGAAAAGCAGGGCATCCATTCAACAGAGGAGGTAGTGATAGTAAGATGGGAGACTGGTAACATATAGACGGATTAATCACTTAGTAAATACATTAAGGACAATGAAAGCCAAGTTCTCACAATCACAATAAGAGAAGAGCTCTAGAAAATAAGAAAATTAGAATGAATCCTGTAGTATTAGATTGGAATTGAGTTTAATATTAATTCTTGATTTTCAATGTATTTAAAGATATAATAAATAGAGGTAAATGTGTATGTATCCACTAAGAAAATCTAGGAGCAACAACATTCCAAAAGCAATAAACACATTAATGACCCATATCTTGTCTTCTAAATACTATTTTCCACTAAAAAGTGGAGAACTAAAAGTTCCTTGGAGAAATGACTGACTGATTCCAGGACTGGAGCAAGGAGATACAAAATGAGCCTGGAACATCTTGTGCCAGAAAGCAAGAAAAATCTCAAGAGTATTATGTCAAGGGATGTGTCAAAAAAGACACAGAAATCAACCTGAAGATGCTCTCAATGGCTAAATCTGGAACAATCTGGCCATCAAAATACATAATAGTAGTAATAGATTACAACAGACTGAATAAAATAGGAACTATGAGTCCATACAGATACAAATTTAATGAATAATAGTGTCACAGAGATGGAATACTTACACAGTTGTAAAACACTTTCTTACAAAACATTAATTACAAAAGTGAGAAGAGTAAGTAACTTTACAGTAATAAAGCTTAACAGACAACACCTCAATAAAATCATCAAAGTGGTCATCATTGGTAATGGGTCAAACTGAAATTGTTGAACATTTGACAGGGTATAATGAGAACGTCACTTACGTGATACTCCTCTAAACGTAACATAACCCCAATCAGGAGGAAACAACATAAAACCAAATCAAGAGACATTATACTAAATAACTCCCTTATAATCTCTAATAGTGCCAAGTTCACAAAAGTCAAGAAAAGACTGAGGAACTATTTCAGAAGGAAATACAGAAAATTATGGGGATTTATGCTATACGAGACATCAATGGGATAACTGGCAAACTTGAATGAAGTCTGAGGATTAGAGAATAGCAATGTATCAAAATGTTATTGTTTTCAGAAAACAAACACTAAAATATTTGGAACTGATGGAGCCTCAGGTTAGCAACTTACATTCAAATGGTTTTTGAAAAAAAAAAAGTTATAACTTTCTCATAAGGTGAAAAAAAACAAAACTTACTGCGGGGACTGGCAAATCTAGTTTCAAAATCAGGTTCAGCCACTTACAAACTAAACAGCTTTAGACAAGCTGCTTAATCTCTGTAAGCCGTGTTTGCTCATTTTAAAATGGGAATGGGGGGGCCTGAGTGGCTCAGTCAGTGAGGTATTCGACTCTTGGTTTCAGCTTAGGTCATGATCTCGCAGCTTCATAGGTTTGAGCCCCACATTGGGTTCTGTATTGGCAGCACAGAGCTTGCTTGGGATTCTCTCTCCCTCTCTGCCCCTCCCCCACTCATGTTGTATTTCTCAAAATAAACTTAAATAAATAATAAACAAATAAATAAATAAACTAGGGGGATCAAGCTCTATAATCTGTGGTGTGAATTAGGTGAGATATGTTTATAAAACACCATTAGCACAATGCCTGGCACTTAGCATGTGCTCACTGATAATTATACTTTCTCTGAAGACAAAATCTGATAATGCTTGGTTCCCCCTAAAATACTTGAAAGAGAATCCCATTCTGGCTGCATCGAGCATTCTGCAGACTTTTGGCTGTCAACCACAATTACTATTTGTAAAACCTGCTGCTTGCAATTCCGTATCACAGATACTTGCTCTGTTACTGCTTTTGCATAGAGGGAAAACACAAATGCCAGGCTCCTCTACAGTTCCCCATTTGTGTGTACACACACACACGCACGCACACACGCACACAGTCTGACTTGAGGCTGTACTTTAGGAGATCCTTAAGTTATTATTCTGACCACACTGCCAGTGACTATTTAACCTCAACCCACAAGGTACTGGTACTCAGCATTTATTCTCATCTACTTAGCAGAGCTGATTTGTCTAAGACTATGCAAGCTTCTCTGGCCTTCTAAAAGTAGTGTTCTCTTACCTCTAAAGTGAAGAGAAACTAGAGAACTGCATAGTTGAAAGGCAAAGAGCAACAATTTCAACACCTGGGAAGGGACAGAATAACAATCCCAAGGAGGACATTCCAGAGGCTTCAGACATCCCTCATACATTGTCCAGGTCAAGAAATGGGTTTGAACTGCTGGCTTACTAAATGTTCATGTTTTGTTCCCACCTACATGTTAGTGCACACATATTCTGCCTTCTAGGAGACTGCCCATACACACTAAGACAGCACTACTCAAAGTACAGCCCATGGACCAGTGATACTCTGCGAAGTACTAATGACCTATGAGATCAGCAGCAATATTAAGGGTAAGAATTTTAAAAAATTTATAGTAACTAGATGGAATAGTTTTCTAATAAATATAATTAAAAGCAGGACTTACAGGACACCTGGGTAGCTCAGTCGATTAAGCTTCCAACTCTTGGTTTCAGCTCAAGTCATGATCTCATGACTTTGTGGCTTCAAGCCCCACATAGGGCTCTGTGCTGACTCTGCGGAACCTGCTTGGGACTATCTCTCTCCCTCATTCTCTCCGCCCACCACCCCCACCCTGCTTGTGCGTTCTCCCTCTCAAAATAAACTTTTAAAAAACCAGACTTAGATTTTATGTCTTTACTGTTGATTTTTTTACCTAGTGATTCATTCTTATTGTATTTTACAAAAACCTGGATTGTAACAGGTTGAGGGGAAAGAACTGCTCTTTCACCACAGAGAGTTTAGACGGTAATACACTGAGATTTTCATATCCAAAGTTTGAACACAGTAAACTAACATTTATTAAGCACTTACTACATGTCAGAGGCTGTTTGCTTTACACACAATACTTTATAAAAGGCTCACAGCAGCCAAGTCCTATCTCTACCCTCATTTTCCAGATGAGAAAACTAAAGTGCTGAGTACAACTTGGAACAACTTGCTTAAGTACCAGAATAAATAATGTATCTCACTTCTGAACATAAGTCCTTAACTACTAAGCCACAGAGTATTGAGAAAATACAAAGTAGGAAAAGAAAATGGTCACCTTACTCAGAAATGATGGGAGAAAGAATTCTTGAATGCACAATGGACCAGTTGGCATTCGACGACCATGGGTATCTTGGCCTAGACTCCATCACATGTGAGAGAGAAAGTAACGCATTTTACCTGCCCCAAGAAATACAGTGGGTGGTCACAAGAACACCTATAATATAAAAGGGTTTGAATAACAGATGTGGGCCACTGTCAGAAACAAAAGCTGGCTGGCCATCTCTCTTAGGGGCTGCTCAGTCACTGATTTTATATATGCTTCTGCTTTCTTCTCTCTACCAGAGCTTCCTCTGCTTCAACCTGTGCATGGCCAAAGATGATCCAATCCAAGTTAACTGACCATCACCAGTTTAAAATTTCCCTTTGCATTTCTCAAAGGTTCACATTTCTCTGATGAGCCACATAGGTCAGAGGTTAAAGAATGGCTACCTCATGAATCAGGCACCCCTTCTAGTCCATGGTGGGCCAAATGACACAGAACCTGGGTGAATCCACTTACAGTAGCTAGGAGTGTGGAACTATAAAGTTCCTTATGTCTTCTACTATATTACCTAATCTTTGAAAAGATAGTAATCGTCTATAAGGTCTGAAGAAAGATTTAGACATAAGAGATTGTTTCATTTTGCAAGACTTGAGGAGGAAGATTAAAAAAGTTGTTTAAAAATAGAGGAATGGAACAGAATTACAACAGGAAAAAAATAAGATGAAGAGAGAAGTTTTTAAAAATTTTTTAAAATGTTTATTTATTTGGGGGCTGGGGAGGGTGGGGGACACACACAGGAGAGGGGCAGAGAGAGAGGGATATTGAATCTGAAGCAAGACTCCAGGCTCTGAGCTGTCAAAGCAGAGCCCGATATGGGACTCAAACCCATGAACTGTGAGATCATGACCTAAGTCAAGGTTGAACGCTTAACCAACTGAGCCACCCAAGAGCTCAAGATGTAGAAGAAAGTTTAATACATGAAACAACAGTCCAAAACAAAACGAGTAGACAATTCTTCAACAAAAGTAGCATTAGTAATATAACAGACATCATAACTGAGATCCCAAAATAGTACTGGAAAGCAAGGAAAATGTGTGTGTGTGTGTATGTGTACTTTATATGGCTGTATTAATCCTGTTGCAGTATGGGATAGAGTACTATATCTAATAGAGAAATCCTGGATAGAAACATTTGACACCTAGATCAATAGAACAATGTTAAGTTCTAGGTTCAGAGGGAAATAAGCAGAAAAGTCCAAAAAAAAAAAAAAATGACCGAAGAAGGCCTCCATATTCCACAGACTAGAAACCTTCACAGAAGCTTTTGTTATTGCTGGTGAAAACGAGGGGAAACCTAAGAACTAGAAAGCAGCAGTGACCTTAAATTTTAAAAAGAGGACGTAAGGGGGCTCTCAGGACATATCATCATTTAACATGGAAATCAGTAAAAATTTCAATGAAAGTAGTTTCTATAGTTAAAATGCGTAACAAATAAGTAAATGGCAGCCTTTTCTAAACTTCTCAATAATGGGAAGGTATGCACATCAGAAGGTACCTAACAAGGTTCTGGGATGGTTGTCTGAGTATCAGCAGTGTGGTACACACAGAAAGGATGTAACTTATGGAGAGTGAATGCGCAGTTCCACGAAAGAGAGGAAGCTGCCATGCTCGGGCAAATGTCCTGATGGCCCTTTCCATCACTTCCACTGAGAGTGGAAGGTTGTGTACATATATGTGTGCTGGCAACAGAGATCTGGAACGTCTGTCACACTAAACATTTGACACGCAAGGGTGTAACACCTGGGGTTTCAAGGTTCACTACATATTATCAGTTATTTTGCTAAGTATGAATTTGCACTGTGCTGTAGGACAGCTGTGCAGGCTGTTACCTGGCTCATCACTAAATCTAAGCAGATCAGCTTAGTGTGGTTTTACAGTTTTTGTTTAACACAGGGTTTCAAATAATTCTCACATCTGGGGAAAGCAGGGTATCATCACCCACATACTATAGCTAAGAAATCAAAGAAAAGGATATATACTACACTGGTATCTTGATGGTTTCAGAACACATCTCCGCCAAGTTTCAAACTTTTGATGTTCATGCTTGATCTCACCAACTAGACTTTGAGAACAGAGACTATGTACACACTTCTCCCTAAAGTGATTAATGTAAAGCAATAAACATAGCAGATACTCAAGACAAGTATCTTATGGATAAATGTAATTTATTTACTTATAGAACTTCTTTTCAAGTTTCAGACACCCAGGCTTTAACTGTTCTCTTTAGAAGGAAACAGTTCGAATTTAAATCAGAAGCCTAAAGAACTATTTCTACTTGGTCTCAATTTAATTCTGGGTCTGGAAGGTAAAATTTATCCCAATTTAATGGAAAGATTTTCAAAGTACAGAGAAAACCAGGAAACAGCTGCAGAAAATGCTCATTTATATAAAGCAAGAACCACAAGACGACATCTTTTAGTAAGGCCTAACAGCATTCACATCAAATTCTTACAAAGTCAACTACTTATATATGACAAGTTCTGCAAAATCATTACCAATTCTATCGATAATATGCACCTGTATTTTTCAAACTGACATGGTGAATACCACAGATAAAATACCACCACAACCAACAGAAAACACATGGTGTGTTAACTGCTCAAAACTATTTTTAAGTAAAAAATTGGTTTTTAACATTGTGCATATAGCAGTAGCAAGACAGAATTCACAGATTTGAAGCCATCTATAAGATTCCATGCTAACATTTCTATCTTGATGAGTCAAGCTAAATGTGTTTGCAGGAAACCATCAGTACTGTGGAGAAACTACACTAACACTGAAGCATTTTCTGTTGCTGCACATTAATGTCACAAAGCTAGACTGAAGCTTGATTTATGGATCACTGTACTGTTAGGTGGTATGTGGCATTATTTTGCTTACAAATGCAACACAAAAACAAAGAAAGACCTGCATTTAAGACAGTTCCAATGAAATGGACTGCCAACCACCATACATTAGCACTCACTATCCCATTTTTTCCCATTTTTTTTTTTAATATTTGTTTTTGAGAGAGAGGGAAAGAGAAAGCACCTGAGGAGGGAGGGGGAAGAGAGAAGAGAGAGAGGGAGACCCTGAATCCAAGGCAGACCCCAGGCGCTGCACTATCAGAACAGAGCCCAATGCAGGGCTCGAACCCATGAACTATGAGATCATGACCTGAGATGAAGTCTGACACTTAACTGACTGAGCCACCCAGGCGCCCCTCACTATCCCACCTCTACTCACCATAGACAGCTCTCAAGCTCTTACTCAAGCAATACATTCAACACTACAAATGGGTCCTGAACCTAATGACTGGTGCTGAAACCTGTGGCAGGGTCTGGGCTCCTTTAGCCTCTTAACCATTTTTATAAATCAAGCTAAGACTCAGACTCCACTTTGCAGATACAATTAATAAGGGATTGCCATCTTAAAGCTTGGCAAAGACCTGAAGCAAACTTAGGAGAGAAATTTTACCCTAATTTAACCTCAGGAACCGGGAGATCATGACCTGAACCAAAATCAAGAGCCAGACACTTAACAAACCACGCCACCCAGGCGAACTGGAATTGATAAAATTTATCCAAAATTTTATTGTTAGAACCATGTCAGTTCAGTTTCTTCCTAAGTAAAAATCAAATCAAGTGCTCGGTATCTTGGATCAATACTTAGCTTCCAAGATTAAGGAGTGATGACAGTGGTACAGCATTATAAAAATAACCTCCTTCACATAAAATGGCTTAGAGTAGTTCTAAAACAATTTTAATATTATTTTTATACTGAAAATTTATATGTCTAAATAGACATAAAGAATAAAGACAAGTATCAAAATACTTTATGGCTAATTTTTGTCCATATTGATATTATAAATTCTTCTCTCTAGGAAAAAAAAATTCAAAATTTAATTTTGCTTTCTATCACATTGATCTGGTCCAATCTTCCTATTTGATTTATCAAACTGATTTGTGTACAAGATTTCTGGACTAAATACAGAGAAGCAAATTATAGACTGTAAACACCCTATATGTCATATATATAGCATATCTGAGTTTTCTCCAAAGGCATATGAATAAATGATTCCACTAGGAATATTTACCTGTGCTGCCTTTCCTCATAATTTCAGTCTAGGTCTGCAATGCAGCTAACATATGAAAGAAAATACAAGTTTCCTAGAATACATCACATTTCCTTGACAACTAGAAGGTAGAATACTACCACATTACTTAGGTAAAACTCTTTTTCATTTTTCATTTTTCAACTCTTTTGTTTTTTTCTCCCAGCTTTTTTAAGGTCTAATTGACAAATGAAAAAATGTGCATGTTAAGGTGTTGTAACATGATGGTTTGATATATGTATATATTGTGAAGTGATTACCACAATGCAGCTAAATCACCTCACACAGTTACCATTTTTTGTATGTGGTAAGACATTTAAGATCTATTCTCTCAACAAATTAAATATACAGTATTATTAACTATAGACACCATACGGTACACTAGATCCCCAAAACTTATTTCTCTTATAAGTGAAAGTTTGTACCCTTTGACCAATATCTCCTATTTCCTTCACTCCTCAACCACCTTGAGTTTGACTTTTTTATATTCTACATGTAACTGAAATCATATAGTATTTGCATTTCTCTGGCTTATTTCACTTAGCATAATGGCCTTTGGATTCATCTATGTTGTCACAAATGTCAGGTTTCCTTCATTTTTTTGACTGAGTAAAATTCCTGTGGGGGGGGGGGGGTTCTTTATCTGTTCATCCATTGACAGACCCTTAGGTTATTTCCATATCTTAGCTATTGTGAATACTACTACAATGAACATGGAAGTGCAGGCATCTCAGGTACTGATTTATGTTTTTTGGATATATACCCAGTACTGGAAATGCTGTATCATATGTAGTTCTATTTTAAATCTTTTGAGGAACCTCCTGAGTATCTTCCATTATTTAATTGTACAAATTGACATTCCCACCAACATGGTACAAGGATTCCTTTTCCTCCACATCTTCACCAACATTCATTTTATTCTTTTTGATA